CAGTGCACGCCGACTCGGTTGGCAAGTTGACTTCCTCTTCAAGCTGATCGATCAAGATCAACCCACATCATGACCTCGACCTCCCCCGCCTTGCTCCAGAGCTGGATGAAGCAGTCCTGGGACCAGCAATTGCACGTGCAGGTAGACGAGAAGCCCGGCTTGACAGGAATCCTAGATACGTCGACGGCCAGCAGCGGTTTGAAATATTCAGGGCTTACCCAGTCGGAGAAAAACACCCTTCAGGCCTTCCTGACCCAATGCATTTGGACCCAGACATGCTTGAAGAAGGCTGGCTACACCACGGTATCGGTTTGCCAATGCGGACACTCCAGAAGGTGGAGTGGACCAAGGATAGTGTGCCCATCTCTGAAGTTTAAAAATAAAAGGTGGAGTTTACAGCGATGGATCCTGTTTAAAGCAGGGGCCCCAAGATGTCCACATCAGGATGTGCAGCTGTCGCCATCAATTCCGAAAATTACATGGTAGCAGCAACGTGCGGCACAATTGGTCGCAACCTCCCCCAGTCCTCTCCCTCCGCGGAGCACCTTGCCGTGCTTGCTGCTGTCTCCTCCTCCCCACTCGATAGACAAGAAAATCACGGATTGCCTAGGAGTTATGTATATAGGGAGTTCCACAGTAGCAAGCAAATGTACTCAGGAGAAGCCGTGCTGGCTCCAGGTTCAGCCAACTGGCATGGCGGAATCACGTTTGAGAAAATCAAAGCCCACCAGAGCCTAGAAGATTTCACCCAGGGCTCAGACGAGTGGCTCGATGCCACAGTAAACGATGTTGCCGGCAAGCTTACGAAGCTAGGAGCTCAGATGTTGCAGCGTCCCTCGGCCCAGCGCCAAAACTCTCCTGGCGAACTGGCTCAGAAACGCTGCTAAACATAACAGGTTAGCTTCTCTCCGAGTGCGAATCAGAGGTGGGATCCTGACTTTGGTTACAGCTTATGCGCCTCACAGCGGCCATTACTACGAGACGCGACAATCTTTCCACCACGAGCTGCAGAAGGTTATCCGGGCTACCACTGCACATAGCACAACTCTGGTATTTGGTGATTTCAATGCGAAGCTACTGCGACAAGGCGCTGGGGAAGGACATATTGTTGGGCCTCATGTCTTCGATGCCGCTCCTCGGAACTCCTCTGGCGTGCACGGCGCGCAGCAGAATGGGAATTACATGGCACAAGCGTCAAATCGACAACTACTCTTGGAAACGTGTGTGGCGTACGACCTGGCAATTGCGAAAACTTTCCATGACCATCCCGATTCGCTGAAAATGACGTGCCGGAACGTGGGCATCAACCCAATGGATGATGATATCTCGATTTCCACTTTCTCTCAAATTGATCACATATTGTGTCATCAAACTTTGCTGGACACGATCTCCGACTGTTGGAGCAGCCGGTCCGACGCCCTAAACAGCCGACATTTTCTTCTCATTGCTGAGCTGAACATCGAGTTCGAAACGGTACAGAGAGAGCAGAAGCAATCATTCGACAAAGCAGCCTTAGCTGACTCAGAAATTCAGCGAAGATTTGCGGGGGAGTTCATCAACGCAGTCATGCAGCAAGAACAGACGGCCGATTTGGAAACCGCCTCAAAGAATCTGCAGCATGCTTTTTCGCAGGCTGCTGCAGCGTTGCCTGCCCAGGTGATCCGGGCGAAGCGCCCTTGGACGAGTCAGGGTACTTTGGGACTCATTGCAGAACGGAATGCCTGCCGTCGAGCCGGGGACTACGAGAACGAGCAGAAGTTGAACAAACAAATCCGCAAGAGTGCCAAAACAGATAAAGAAGTCTGGCTGGATCAGCTTACCGCGACGGGAAATTGGGATGCTGTCCGACATTTGCGCCAACCCAAAAAGACGCAGCATGCAACAATACAGCGACCTGACGGGGCCGTGGCGGACACATCTGATAGAGCAGACGTACTGGCAGATTATTTTGAACGCGTACAGTGGGAGTACAAATTCCCAGAGACACGACCGAATCACCATGCGCACTTGGGCAGCGCACTTCCTGTCAACACCGGCGCTTTCACGATGGAAGAACTTCAAGCTGCACTTCAGAAGCTGAAGAAAGGAAAAGCCGCTGGCCCAGATGATATACCTCCGGATTTTTGGAAAGTGCTGGTATTTGATACAACCGCGTGCGGCGTTTTGCTCGACATGTGTCAGAAGTGTTGGGAGCAAAAGGCCATTCCAAAAATTTGGAAACGCGCGAACGTGATACTACTATTCAAAAAGGGGAATGTTCTTTTGCCGGCGAACTACATATCCTTACTTCCAGTGGGTTACAAAGTTCTGGCAGCACTACTGCGCCGAAGGCTTCTACACGGCGGAGCGGAGCGTCGACTACGAAATTCTCAATACGGCTTCAGACCAGGGAGGGGCACTCAAGATGCGCTCATGCTGGTCTGGCGCATCATCGATGCAGCGTGCCAAGACAAAAATGGTGGTATAATTCTTGTAATGTTGGACTGGGCCAAAGCATTCGACAGGATCAAACCAGACTGCATGTGCGACGCTTTGGGTCGTTTTGGTATTCCAGCAGATATGGTGGCCATGATTAGATCAATTTATGAGGCGAGATATTTCACTATATTGGACCATACAGGCTCTTCCACTGAGAGACAACAGCGGGCGGGCATAGCACAAGGGTGCCCTTTATCACCATACTTGTTCATCATCGTACAGAGCGTGATGCTGTATGATGCTTTTGACCAACTCGATCTACAAGAAGATCCGGCATATGTCGTGACGCGCGATATCCTTTACGCCGACGATACACTTCTACTTTCGCGTCACAAGCAAAACATGGAAAATATGCTCTTGGCCATTATTACAGAAGGTAAGAAATACGGCTTGGAACTGAACTGGGACAAAACTTTACAAATGCAATTATCAACACACAACGTAATATCACGACCAGACGGGGGCGCAATCAAGTCTGTCCGCGAAGCTGTTTACCTAGGAGGACTGATTACCTGCGACGGGAAAGTTGCCACGGAACTGACGCGGAGACTAGGAGAATGTACAAAGATGTTCAAGCAGTTGGATAAGCTCTGGAGTCACGCCTCGATTGGAAAACGGCGAAAGCATAGTATTTACACAAGCTGTGTGGTAAGCAAGCTGCTCTACTCATTGGACTCAGTTTGGTTACTGAAAGCAGACAGGGCGCGCCTTGATGCTTTCCACTGCAGGTGTCTACGACGCATTGTCGGCGTACCTCCTTCGTTCATCTCGAGAGTCAGCAACGCAGACATTCTGAAGATCTTGACAGGCAGGAGAAGGCGTACCTCAAGATTTCCAGAAGTGGGCATCCCTCCTTGGTGCGACAAGTTGTATGCGAGCCAGATGGGTCACCAAAGTGTTGGGCGCTGCATCGACGACGAGGCCGGCCTCGACAGCAGTGGGCTTCTTCAGTGTACGGTCTGAGGCAATCTCGCCTTCCTCCCTCCCCTCCCCCTTCTTAGTTTTGCAGCACTCATTGTACACTTTCAGTTCATGTTTTCCGTTCGGTCGCCAACGTCGCAACCAGAGTTTGCCAACGCGTCCCACCGGATGCACGGCCGAGCGAGCGAGCGAGCGGGGAGCCGATGGGAGCTAAGACCAGCAAAAAATGCGTTTGCTTCTCGGGACAAAACCGTGACCCAGCCCAAGCCAGCTCCCGCGGCCCCTCGGCCCCAGAGAATCCTCCACTCCTGGGAATGGAACAATCGGTCCCAGAAATGGCTGACCGAATCAATGCGTCTCGCAAAGATGAGGCCTGCAGGAGCTATCACTTACAGTTATCCCAGATAGCATCGGACCCCAAGGGTCACAAGGTTTCTGTTGCCCGCCAAGAGCAGAGTCTAAGTTGTGTGATGATGTGCTCTGGCTGCGGACTGTACAGTGAATCGAATGTGCGAGAGCTCAAACAGAGCTGTGCCAAGGTTTCAAGAGAGCCGGGGACAACACGCAGTGGAACCTTCTGTGCACGGGGAAGCACCAAAAGTCCTCTTTCAGATCCCCCTCTCTTTTCCTCAGTCCCCCACTTAGGCTCCAAGATGTTCTTGCCGCAGAAGCAGCCAGAATCAAAGTTCAGACCCCCACTGAGGCTCCAAAGTGTTCTTGCCGCGGAAGCAACCAGAATCAAAGAAGCCGAGTCCCAACAGAGGGATGCAGGGCCTGAGCGGAGCTGCCATGCTGCGCTCTCCAACCACGTGCTGATCCTCCTCGTCCCCCTCCTCCTCCGAGCACATCGCGATGCCAGGCGGAAAGCCGAACAAAGAACAAATGGGGCTCTGCTGGTGGCCACGGCGAGCGGCAGCCAGGGACAAGCTCCTGGGACCCACATCCTCCCGATCCTTACCTCAAGGTGGGGAGCCCGAAGATGTGAAGGGGCCCAGGGGCACACAAAAGAATAGACACAAATCCAAGGGCTCCTCATATGCTTCCAAGCTTGCTGGAGTTTCGTCTCCCCCCACTCCCCGTCGTTTCCACATTTTTTCTGGGGAATCGTCAATGTTGTGTTTTCCCTCCTGGCGCGGTTATGGATATATCCCCGAAGATCAATCCCCCAGGCGGCGGTTATGGATATATCCCTGCCTCGAGCTGGTTTCTGTTTTCAAGTCATAACTCGGGTCTCTGGCAACCGTTCGGGACGATCCAGGCACCCCCGGAAAGCTCTCGGCGGGGCGAGGCTGCTGGAGAGCACCGACGAAAAAAACACCCGACAACCTCGAACCTCGAGCCCATCCCCTCCTCTTCCTCCTCCTCCTCCGAAGGAGAGAATGCGAGGCGGGGATTCATCCAGATCCACCGCCTGGGCCGCCGGGGGACCGACGCCGTGGGGACCCAGCGGGCGGTGGATATGGATACATTGGGGTCCCCGGGGGCCCAAATATATCTATATCCAACGCCCGCCGAGGTCTCCGAGAATCGATCCTCCAGGCGGCGGTTATGTGTAAATCCCCTCCTTCGCAAAAAGAGGATAACCCGTCGATCGAGCGAGCCTCCTCCCTGAGGTGCAACAGCTCGGCCCTGGCGGCAGCGAGCTCCTCTGGCGGGCCGCGGCAGCGGGCTGCACCCACCCAGCACTCTGACGTGGCAGCAAAGGCATAGTTCCATGTTTGAAAGAGCCGAACTCTATAGACCGACGCGTTTTCCAACCCCGCTCTGAAATTCGCATAGGAAAGCGGAGTATGGTGTATACGAGATCCTGGTGTATACTTGTTTCGTTGATTCTATCCCCGGGTAAACAGAGAAAAAATATACACCCCACCACCCCGACGTCGTCCCCGACCCTAAACAGTCCTGGGATTGAAACACAGCCCACCACTGGTAATGCATATGCTCCAACTTCCGATGTATTACCAACTCCAGAGACGTCGCCCCGCAACGAAAGAACTAACAAGGAACACAGAAAGAGAAAGGGACGGGGAAGGGAGCGAAGGGGAGGGGAGAGCGGAGGAAAGAGGCGAGGGAGAGGTGCGGAGGGAAAGGGGAGAGGGAAAGAGGAGAGGGAACGAGGAGAGAGGGAAAGAGGAGAGAGGGAGAGAGGAGAGGGAGAGAGGAGCGGAGGAGAAAGCGGCGAAAGGTGTCCTCCTCCTCCTCCTCCAACTTCTCCTCCTCCTCCTCCTCGTCATCCTCCTTCGCCTCGTCCTCTTCCTACTCCTCCGTGGTCGTGTATAGTCCCGTCTTCATGTGTAATTCGTCACGTGCTGTAGGCTTCCTGACTCTGTCATATGGTCACGCTCATACTCCGCCTCCTCTTCCTCCCCCTGAAAAAAAGCCAGGAGAACTGCAGGGAGGGGAGCGCGGAAGAACGAGGAGGGATGGCAGCAAGAGCGCGGACGCCACGGCGCGGCTGGCGGCCGCGCCGCCCGGAGGCCCCCTCTCGGGGCGCCCGTCCCAGCGGCCGCCCGCCCCGGCCAATTGCACGGGGCGCCGCCCTGGAGCCCTGGCGGCGCGGGCCGCCCTGGCGGCCTCGCTGAGCTCAGCGGCCCTGGGACACACGAAGAGATAGACACAGATCCCAGGATGTCCCATCGTTTCTCGTATGTTCTGCATGTTCGTCTTCCCCCCCAACTTCCAATATTTCCCCATACGTCCCTGAGTCGACGATCAATTGTGTGTGTGTTGCTTCGCCTCCTAACTTAGGCCGGGGATGCCCTCCTACAGGCGGATTTGCGAACAATAAGAAATAGTCAAGCCATATTCCAACATAGTCCCAAAAACATTCGGAAAAAATGTCTCCCGACTATCGTTCCAACCATTCTTGAATATATTCCTCCTTTGGGGACATGCCCGACTTAATGCCAGGCTGCCGCCCCAGCGATGCCAGCGGCCATGCATCCCATGAGTTCCGCGAGCTCGCCGTCGCCCAGCCAGGCCACTGCCAACGCAACGCTGCGCTGAAGCTGCTGGACCTTCCCGCCCGCCTGGACTCCCAGCTGGCGTGCAAAAACAAATCTACACACCAACACACAGCGGCGTGCCCAAGGGGGGAAGGTTCCAGTATTCCAGGTTCGAGCTTGTCGGACGCCTTCTTCGGTTCTCGGCGGTTTTCCAGCCTCGGGGTGATTTCCAGCAGTTGCGCCTCGCCAGGAGAATTCTGGGGGTACCCGAATCGTCCCGATCGTCCGCTGGAGACCCGAATTATCACCCGACAACCAAACTCGGCGGCGCGCCGAGGGGGGAAGTGAGGGCAGGCCTTCTCAGAAGGCGGCGGGGCTTCTCAGAAACCCTCAAGCCTTCTGAGAAGCCGACTCTGTCTTCGGAGAAAATTTAATATCTTCTCAGAAAACCTGACCCTCCCGAGACTTCGCAGAAGGTCCGCCCCCTCTGCTTTCCAACCGGGCTTGCCGCCGGACCACCACCGCCGCTTCCCTGAACTCCTGGCGTCACAATCTTTTCACGGCAGGCGCGTTGGCCCTGCACCAAGCCCTAGGACCATCACAGATCGATCTGGCTCGACAAATGCCGCAGGAAGATGGGGTGCAGGGTCCAGGGCCCTGGTCGTGATGTTTGACGATGCTTCAATGCTTCCGCGACGTCGGATCCCAGGGTGGTTGTCCCGTTCAGGACCATTGTAGGCCAAAATCTTGGTGCGCATCGGATCCTGGCAAGGCAAGGAGGCAGTATACAGTCGGACATACACAGCCAGGAAAGCTTATGACATAATCCATAGGACTACTATTGTTGAATAATCTGCCAACGACAACGCCGACAGGAGGATAATCAAGTGAGATTCGCTTGGCAATGTTGGCAGCGCACGCCGGAGTGCACCAAGGGCAGGAGATCGACATGTCTTATGGCGCCTTGCGCACAGCATAGAGAGACGAATGCCATGTCATGCACAGATGTTGTTCCTACTTGGTTCTTCGCCGGGCCGCGGGCACTGGTGACATTAAGTCAATTGTTACGAGTGGAACCCCGAGGAGCCGCCTGCAATGCATCGCGCAGTGAGCCGTTCATGATGCTTCGTAACATTTATAGGCGGATGGCACTTAATTCGAAAAGCCCCGACCACAGTGTTTCTACTACGCTTCCGCTTCCATCCCAGTGCCACGATTGTTAGTAGTTGCTTTTTGAGGGGATGTTGTAGTAGGCCAGAAAAACATCTTTCAAGGGCATGAGACCCTTCACCAGCCAAAACGAACAGAACATCCAAGAGTACCCTCCCCAGGATGCACAAAAACATCCAAGAAACAAGAAGACCACAAGGGCACCCTCCCCGAACCGACCTCGACCTTCTTTCTACCTCGGTCCGACTGTATGCACCAAGCTGTGGCCACAGCAGCGCCAGACTAGCCCAAAAAGAGCGGCAAAGTCGGGGCGGCTCGGAGAAAGAAGCGGGCCACCGCGACTCCCGACATCCCACGACAGACGACAAAACCATGGCGAGCTGGGGCTTGTGACTAGAAGTAGAAAAAAGGGCATAAACATAAACTGTTGGCGCTCCGTGCGAATTTCTTCGATCTGCGCTGGACCCCCCTCCTGGGCGCGAGGAGCGCGCCAGGGGCGGCGCCAGAGGCGCCGCCGGGGGGGCCCAGCGCGGATTCAAGGGCGCCAACAGTTTATGTTTATGGGTTTTCTTCGAAGCCAGCGGAATTCCCAGCAGACCTAAATCCCCCGTGGCCCCAGCCTGCCCAATAAGTCCCGTTGGCCCTCCTCTGGCCTCGACAGGCCCCGCGCGGCCGCTTTCGCCTGCACTTCTGCTTTCTGCCGCTGGCCGCCACTGGCCCTGAGCGGCGCCTCTTGCCCTGGCCCTGGGATCTCCAGAGGCGCCCTGGCCGCCAGTGGCGCCGACTGGCCACTGGCCCTGAGTTCTGCGGCAACTCATGGGAGCAAAAAATACCATCTTGTTGGCCCTTGCGACGCTCGTCGACGCTACTCGACGCTCAATCGACGCTATTCTACGCCACATCGACGCAAATCGACGCTCAATCGGCACAATTTCATCGATTACATAGTGCACTCTAAAGACAGAGTTACGAGGGTACACGGGGCTTCCATGATTTGCCACCGAACATGAGTGCCCGCCTGCTTGGGCTCGTCGAGTCTCGCCGGCTGACATGCGCCCAATGGCCAACGGTATGGGTATGTGCTGCTGGTATGGAGCTCCCGCCAAACCAGGGCGGGCAAGTAAATGGCTCAGACGGGGCCGATGGCGGCCGACGGGCAGCAGCCTGGCTCTTGTCAGGACCGGCAGCGGCCAACGAAACTCCCGAAAACGCATGACCGTCGAGGCTAGTCTGCTTATGCGGCGACAACTGCGATCCCCGGCAAACAAGAGCCAGCCACTCGGCTACCTCGGAGCTCGTGGGGGTTAGCGGAGACAAGGGGGCTCCCATCTAACCGCAGCTATCGGCCACTAGGAGCTAAGCGGGGCTGGAGCATAGCAACAGGCCACTCGGAGCTACGTCGGGGCTGATGGCGGTCAACGGGGTCCCCGCAAACCAAGGCACCAGTCGAATCGGGAGCGTCGCGCTCTGCCGAAGCTCAAGCAAACCAAACCCACTACACAAGCCCGAATCGTATCATAAGGATGCGCGGTAAGGATGCAAGGGAATTGGAGGCCCATGTGAACGTTTTTCGAACGAGGTTGGTCAGCGAAAGTCGCTGAGGATGAGCCGAGGAAGGAGGGTGCAAGGGTACCCTTGGGAAGGTTGCCCATCTTCACTATGCGGGTTGCTTGAACATGTGCAAGCGGTGCTGGACAAAGAACCTGCCCCCCGCTTCGCGAAAGTCGGCCAGAAGCTCGGGCACGCCGACGCTGCTATCTCGAGCAGGGTTGCAGCCCCTGTGCACTCCTCCGCTGTCGCACCCCCAGATCTCGGGGGCGCCCACGTGGGGGGCGTCCAAGAGGGGGGCGTCGCAACCCATAGCCCGAGGCATGTGCGCGGCCCCAGAGCATCCTAACAGGCCCCGAGGGGCAACGTTGGGGGGGACGGGCTCGGGGAGGAGACATCAAACTGGCATCAGCGACGCATCGCCTCCTCGGCGGTGTGGGCTATCGGGCCTCGGTCGGCGACGGAGGGGCGATCGGGGGCCGATGGTTACCCCCCGGAGCCCATCGCCCTTTTCAGTGCCCCCTGATCGTCGGCTCATAGCTCGACACCTGGCACCCCAGGACGCTTTTTTAGGCGGGGCGCAGCTGCTGGACGCATCCCGAAGCAGGAACTCCTCCAGGCCCCGGCGACAACATCAGAAAACCATGTCCACCACATACAAACAGGCGAGCAGACGAAGACATCCAAACCCTCCTCTTCCTCCCGCCCGTGCCTCCTCCAGCCTTCCCGGACGACGACGCCTCGACGACGATCACGACGGCGACGACGAGGACGGCGACGACGACGACGACGACGACGACGACGACGATGGCGGCAATTCCTCGGTAGTCCGCGCCACGGACGCCTTCCACGCCGCCGCGAGCGACAGCTCCTGGCGACGCGGGGCGGGGGAGAAAACAGGGAGGGGGGATCGGCTCGGGCCCTCCAACTCGCGGCGGCATGCCCCTCTTTCCGTTTTGCTTCCTTTTCCCTCCCTCCCTGCCTCGCTCCGTTCATCCTCCTCATCCATCACTTCTTTCCATCCTCCCCATCCATCCTCCTCATCTGTCCTCATCCTCCTGCTCCTCCTGCCCCTCCTCCTCCTCCTCCTCCTCATCATCATCATCATCCACCCTCCTCCATGTCCTGCTCCTCGTCCTCGTTCTCGTCCTCCTCCTCCTATTATCCCCCATCCTCTGTTAGGTTCTGTTCTGGTGGTGTCACAGCCCCGTCAACAGGATCACCACGCATCTACCCACGCTATGCGTATCAGAGAACCAGCGTTGCGCATGGGCAGCAGCAGCAACGGCGGAGCGGGAAGAGGAAACGAGAAACAGGAAGGAAAAGGGGGACGACGACGAGGCGGAGAAAAACACAGAGGGAGAGAGAGAGAGAGAGCAGCACAGAGGGAGGCAGGAAAGCGAGCGAGAGGAAAGTAGCACGCAGGACGGGAGAGGGGGGGCGAACGACAAGGCGTGCCAGCAGCAGGCAGCGCACCAATGGGGAACGGGAGGCAAGGAAGTTGGCAACCATTGAAAAATGGTAGCAGCGATCGCTACTGTGCAACGAAAACACGCCCTGTTCATCCGATTCCTGCCCACTCCGTCCTCGTTCTCCTCCTCCGTCTCCTCCTCCTCATCCCCATCAGATCAGCATCATCAGCATCATAAGCAGCACCAACACCCTCAGCAACAGAATCGGCATGCAGCCTCCTCACCCCAATGATCGCCAGCATCACAAGCACCATTCGTATCATTTTGAACAGCAGCAGCATCAACATCATCACCAACATCACCAACATCATCATCATCATCATCATCATCATCATCATCATCATCATCATCATCATCATCACCGTCTACATCACAATGTTCATCCCCACCCACATCATCAAATCATCATGAGCATGATCACCATCGTCATCATCATCACCACCATGAGTGCATCATTAACGGCATCATCATCATCCACATGACCATCCACACCATCGTCATCATCAGCAACACCATCACCCGCATCAGCATCGGAATCATCACCATCGGCACCATCACCAGCACAATCATTAACACCACCAGCACCATCATCAACATCCCCATCATCGCCATCAACAACATCATCGCCGTCAACATCGTACCCCTCATCAACACCATGGCCATCATCAGCATCTGGATCAGCATCACCATCGTTGCCATCCGCATCAACATCATACGTCGTACCACCGCCATCACCAACATCCGCATGATCAGATTTTCGTCATCGTCACTAATATCATTGCAGCTATCATTTCGGCGACGTCATCTTGAGGGATGAAAGAACGCCCCTACCCTGGGTTACGCGTGCGTGGTCCGTAAAGCCCCTGCGAGCTCGCAAAGGCCAGAGAGCCGCCAGTAAACCGCGCGACGCGCGCGATGCGCACGGTTCATCCTGTCAGCCCATAGGAGGTTCAGCGCACAGCGACTCGTAAACCTGGGTATGAGGTTTTTTGAACACTTGATCATCATCACTAATTTTATCAGCACCATCATCATAACCAGCACCATAACCATCACCAGCAGCATCATCATCGTCAGCATCAGCACCATCATCATGATCATCGTCACCATCAGCTTGTCATAATCAGCACGACCAATACCGTCAAATGTAATATCATCACCATCATCAGCACCAGCACCAGCATCGCCGTGGATCACCATTGTCATCACCAACGTTACCATCAGCATTATCATCGGCATCATCACCATATTCATTTTTTATCCCCATCCTCATAATCATCCGAAATAACTTTCCTCATGCATAGCGCTTCCCTGTCGTGCCCCGAAGCCTGTTTTGTTTGCGGGCCGGGCGTTTCGTCTGAGACTTCCTTTCCATGTGCGACTCTGAACCTTACAAATTCAACAGCTTCGCAGATGCAGGACTGGAGCTTTTCAAAATGTGGCTCTCGCGTTTGCGCCGTGCACATTCGTTTTCATTGATTGAGGATAAACTGTTTTTTAATGCGGTTATCGCCTTAACGCCGCGCGCATTCGTTCTCAAAAATTGCAATAGTTTCGCGAATTGAGATAACCCATTTTCAAGATGTGGTTCTCGCCTTAGCGCCGAGTATTATGTTTCGCAAATTGCACGAGTCCCACCAGCCCTTTGGGCGTGAGTGGTTTAGCGAGCTCTCTCTGTTCTCAACCCCCTAACCCCCTTATCTCTCCCTTCGGGGAGGGGTTTACCCCTCCCCCCACCCCCTCCCCTGGACCTGGAGAGGGCGGGCCGAATGGGATCAAGAGGGTCTTTTTCGACTCCTGGGAGGGCCAAAAAACGACGACCCTCACGAGGATTCTGGTCTCGAGGGGGGGGGGATAGTTCGGCGCCTCCACTCGTCTTTGGAGCGAAACACATTGATTTTACTATGGTTTTGGCCCCATTTTTGGCCTTCTGAGGGGGCCGCGCTCATCCTCCTTCATAGCAAAATTATTGATGTTACGAAGGTTTTGGCGTCATTTTCTCCCTCTGTGGGGGCAGCGCTCATTTCTGCTTCTGAGGGCGTCGTAAGAGGCCCCAAGATGGCCCCAAGAGGCCCCCAGGAGGCCCCCTAGAGGCCTCCGAGAAGCCCCCAAGAGGCCACAAGAGGCCCCCAAGAGGCCCCCAAGAGGCCCCAAGAAGCTCCAAGAGGCTCACAAGAGGCCCCCAAGAAGCCCCCCCAGAGACGCCCAAGAGGCCCCGAGAGGCTCCAAGAGGTTCCCAAGAGGCCCCACGAGGAGCCCGAACGACTCACACCAGGACGTGGGGCCCCAACGACTCACACCACGAAGGGCCCGAACGACTCACACCACAAGGAAGGGCCCGAACGACTCACACCAGGACGAGGCGCCCGAACTACTCACACCACGAGGAGCCCGAACGACTCACACCACGACGCGGGCCCAGAATGACTCACACCACGGGAAGCCCGAACGAGTTACACCAGGAGGAGGGGCCCGACCGACTCACACACCAGGAGGGGGCTCATATCACGAGGAGCCCGAACGACTCACACATAATGAAGGACCCGAAGGAGTCACACAAGGAAAGACGATGGGCCCCAACGACTCACACCACGAAGAGCCGGAACGACTCACATATCTGCAACGCACACAGACGCGCACTCTCGCATTATCTCTGGAGGCCCTCTCGTGGCACTGCAAACCTGCACGTTTAGGGGAGGCCTTATTCCTGCCTTGTTTTTTCTTTTCCCTTCTTCGACGGGCAAGGGCGGGAGCACTTCAGCCAGCGCGTTGCGTAACGCACGACGCACCTACTGCGCACGAGCGCGCTAGAGAAACATCGGAGGTTCGTCTTCCAGGCCTGGCGAGGGCCCGATCGACCTCCTCACAAAAAATCGCGAAACCTCTCACCCCCTTGGCAGCGAGGGACAGGGTGCCCTACTTTCGCAAAGGGGTCGGGATCGTGCAAATACAAGCTCGACAGTGGCGCGTGTCTGCGGCAGTCCGCGGCGGCAACCGTACCTGCATGTCCTGGAGCGTTCGCCGCCACAACGCTGCTGCCACGAGGGCGGGGCCAATGGGGCAAGGAGTGAAACATGCATCACAACAACAAGTGGCCGATATAATCTACTCTATGTTTCGGCCCCATTTCGGCGTTCCTTCACAGCACAATCATTGATGTTACGAAGGTTTTGGGTTATTCTGTCCTTCTCAGGTGCCAGCGCTCATTCGCGCTTCAGAGGGATCGCACGAGCTCCAAGCTGGCTCCAAGGACTCCCAGGAGGCTCCCAAGAGGACTCCAACACGCCCCCAAGAGGCTCCCAATAGAACCCACGAGGCCCCCAAGAGGCCCCCAAGAGGCCCCCAAGGAGCCCCAAGACGCTCCAGGAGGCCCCCAAGAGGCTCCCAAGAGGCCCTCAGGAGGCCCCCAGGTGGCCCTCAGGAGGCTTCAAAGGCATCGAAAAGGCTCCCAAAAGGCCCCGCGAGGTGGCCGAACGACTCACCCCAGGACGAAGGGCCCCTCAGACTCACACCACGAGGAGCCCGAACGACTCACACACAAGGAGGGGCCCGAGCGACGCGCACCAGGACGAACGGCCCGAACGACTCACACCACCAGGGGCCCGAACGACTCACACGCAAGGAGGCGCCCGAACGACTCACACCAAGACGAGGGGCCCGAACGACTCACACCACGAGGAGCCCGAACGACTCACACACAAGGAGGGGCCTCAACGACGCACACCAGGACGGACGGCCCGAACGACTCACACCACGAGGAGCCCGAACGACTCACGCGCAAGGAGGCGCCCGAACGACTCACACCAGGACGAAGGGCCCCTCAGACTCACACCACGAGGAGCCCGAACGACTCACACACAAGGAGGGGCCCGAACGACGCACACCAGGACGAGGGGCCCGAACGACGCACACACAATGAGGGGCCCGAGGCACGCACACTAGGAAGGACGAGGCCCCCAGGAGGCCTCCAAGAAGCCCCAAGAGGCCCCCCAGGAGGCCTCCAAGAGGCCACCAATAAGCCCCAAGACGCCTCAAGAGGCCCCCAAGAGACCCCCCAAGAAGCCCCCAAGAGGCCCCGAGACATTCCGAGAGGCCCCCAAGAGGCCCTGCGAGGAGGCCGAACGACTCACCCCAGGACGAGGAGCCCCAACGACTCACACCACGAGGAGCCCGAACGACTCACACACAAGGAGGGGCCCGAGCGACGCACGCCAGGAGGAGCGACCCGAACGACTCACACCACGAGGGGCCCGAACGACTCACACGCAAGGAGGCGCCCGAACGAATCCCACCAGGACGAGGGGCCCGAACGACTCACACCACGGCGAGCCCGAACGACTCACGCACAAGGAAGGGCCTCAACGACGAACACCAGGACGAGGGGCCCGAACGACTCACA